ACCAACATGAATTTGACCGAACTCTGGGAGGCAGTGGAAGACAGGAGGGTCTGACGTTCTCTGGTCGATGGGGTCACGAAAAGTTGGACACGACTTAATGACTAAACAACAACAAACATCTGAGAACCTAGGTGTAAAGCTCAATGATTCAGATCACACATTTTGACACCTAGGACATAAAGGGTTTCTCCTGCTGTTGGTTGAACTTGGATGCACACTTGATAGTGTGTAATGTATTCTCTGGTCGATGGGGTCACGAAAAGTTGGACACGACTTAATGACTAAACAACAACAAACATCTGAGAACCTAGGTGTAAAGCTCAATGATTCAGATCACACATTTTGACACCTAGGACATAAAGGGTTTCTCCTGCTGTTGGTTGAACTTGGATGCACACTTGATAGTGTGTAATGTATGCCAGTATTTTCTCAGTGAGCTCTCAGAGTAATGGGCAAGTAGCTGCCTTGCAATTGCAGGATTGCTCAGCGTATCTTATCTTATTTATTTATTTATTTATTTATATGCCGCCCACACTACCCGAAGGTCTCTGGGCGGCTTACAGCATTTAAAATACAATAAAAAGGCAAAATAAAAGGGCAAAATAATTAAAATGCAATTAAAATATATATTCTAAAAATTGCCATCAGACCTACAGCTGATATTATTTCAGTTAAAAGCCATTTGGAACAGGAAGGTTTTGACCTGACGCCGAAAAGTCATCAGCGCCTTGCCTCCCAAACATCTACCTTCCCCTTTGCTCAATCCTGTCCCTGTGTTGCAACATGGGTTAGAGGTGGGAAACTCAAGGTATTGCTACACCCACCTCAATATGACATCACTTCCCATATTGGTGAGATGGTGATGAATGTGGGCTTCCTGCACCAAGATGCATAAAAAAGCAAATGCATCTAGTATGGCAGGTTGGTTTTTCATCAGTCCTTCACTACCATCACTCTGTCTCACAGACATTTATAAACAACTGGACAGAGTTTAAAAAACAGTGATTTACACCAATGTTCTCTTTATCAGATGTTGATAAGTATAGATGCCATAGCAGAAGCTTATAATAAAAAGTATTATAAATGCTATTTATCTTCTTCGCTTTCTAATATGGCATAGATATGGACATGCAGTCCTTCAACAGCACAGTTCCTTTATGAATCATGGTATTTTCTGGTCCTGTTGTATAGTGATATGGATTTTGATAACATCAAGACTGAAAAAAATTCTCTTAATACAACATTGAAATGCCAGATAGCAGTTGCTTTGATTCCATGTAACTGAAAACACTTGGCGAACAAACCTTTTGTGAATGGTAGTATCCAAGTTCATTTTAATAATCTGGAAATAGAAAGAACCTGAAAATAATGTCTCACAGTAATAAGGTAATTCCTGTCTTATTAAGCTTATGCTTTTTTTGGGGGGGGGGGTTACTTTTGTATTTTACTAATGGCCTGAAAAGTAGTGAGCTGTAGTAGTGCCCAAATAAACTCCAGAATGGTGGGTGTTTCTTGTGATTTAGTGGTTCTGTGGGCATTTTGCTTGGTTTAAAGCTTATCATTTTTTTTCTCTCTGATCAGCAAAATGAACTGAAGCTCTATATTGATTCAGCAAAATGCCTTTCAGAAATGACAGACACAGAGATTGATCAAATTACCCAACCGTCAAAGGTAATTGCATTCTAGCTATCTTGATCTTCCTTTTTAGGAGTGAGAAATAAAATATTTCTCCGTAATAGTCTATATTGTATTAGTCTTGTAAAGTTTGGTGACTTATACTGTATTAAGCCTAATTTTAATTTGATGTTATTAGTAGTTGTAGTTGTTTATTTGAAGGTATATATGAGGGGGTGCTGATTGTCGTGACCCAGCCTCCCACTAGGGAGTGCTGTTCACTTGGCTAGAGAGCGTCCAGGCATCTGAGTACCCCTTTCCAGCTCGGTTGAGTCCTAGTAACCTCAGCCAGGGCATATCGCAGACCCTTTCCCGCAACTCTGACCTAAAATGATCCCTCTTGCACTCACTTGTCTTTAGCGAGTACAGACACTTGGGCTTCAGAGTCCCTCAAGATCTACCAAAGCCCAATAAGGTAGGACTCTGTAGCAATCTGTGGCCTTGCCACCCCCTCTGGGAGTACGCTTTAACAGGTTTGCTGTTCAAGAGACCAAATCTTAAGATTTTATAATTATTCTTTTTTGTTGAAAAAATATAGTTTTACAGAAAAAGTCAGTTTGAGGCATAAGCACAGCATTAAAAGCTCCTCCTTTCTTCTCTGTCCTCCAAGGTGTCATCCAATTATAATTCAGGCAGTAGAATTTGTCTCCTCCTCCTCTTCTCGTGAGAATGCAGGTGTTGTTTGGTCTCTTCCTGTCTCTTCTCCAATTAAGAAGGAATGCGCTGTCTGGTCTTCTTATCTCCTCCTAGCTGTACCGGCTGAAAAGGAAAACATCCCCACAGCTTCTCTTAGACAACATTCCCAACATTCAAAATCAATCTCATACAGAACCAATTTGATTCCATTTTACAATTTTCATGACTACACAAACCATCTAAATCACATACTTTGATCCACATATTCATGATCACGATACTGATAAATATTGAGCCTTTCCCAGAAAAAAATGAGCTAGGAAGCTGTAACTGCCACACTATTCTACATATTCCCCCAAGAAGTCAATGCACTTGCGACATCTGTCCTGCAGCTTCTTAAGTCCCTGCAAATAAAATTCTTCCAACTGCTAGTGTAACCACTCATTTGCAGCATTAGTTGCCTCCAGAACACTCCCAAATTGTTGTCCCTTTAGGTGTGTTTTGAGTTTGGGCAGATAATAGTCAGAAGGAGTCAGGTCGGGAGAATAGGGTGGATGGGGCATCACTTGAAAGCCTAAGGAGGTCAGTTTTGCCATTGTTTCACCTGCAGTGTGTGATGAGGTGTTGTCATGCAACAGGATGACACCCTTGGAGAGCTTTCCTAGATGTTTTTCCTTGATGTTTTGCCTCAACTTCGTCAATAAAGCACAGTAATATTTTGCATTTATGGTTGAACCCTGTTGGAGGTAGTCCACCAGCAGAACTCCCTTCTTATCCCAAAAAAACTGTTGCCATTTGCTTCTGCACCGACCTTTGCACTCGGAACTTCTTTGGCCTGGGGGAACCACTGTGCCTCCATTCCTTAGACTGTTCTTTTGTCTCAGGATCATAACAGTAGATCCATGTCTCATCACCAGTTACCAGTTTGCCCAGGAAATCTGACTCATTTCTTGCCAAATGTTCCAAAACAGCCACCGATGACTCCATGTGTTTCCTCTTTTGTTTGGTTGTCAAAAGTTTGGGGATGCACTTGCTTCCAGCCTTCTCATTTCTAAGTCATTGTAGATAATGGCACCAACTCTCTCACATGATATTCTCAGATATACACCAATACTTTTGGCTAATATTCGGCGGTCCTCCATGATCACGTCATGGATGACTTTCACATTTGCAGGTACAGAGACAGAAACAGGCCTTCTACTGGGTTTCTCACTTTCAATACCAAAATGGCCAGTTTTAGAATTGACAACCCAACATTTAACTGTTGCATATGAATGGCCAACTGTCACCCATAGTTTGTGACATTCATCAGGCACTATAGGCTTGACGTTCAGCAGAAGTCTGATGCGGCTTTTGGATGTGCTGTTCTCGCTTCTACCTTGGTGTGACACCCTGCCTCTGGGTAAAACAGCTTGCTAGTCACCCAGGCCATGAAGAAGAACAACAGGTTACCCACCTTAAATGTAGTTCTTTGAGTGGACCTCTGTGATTCACACATCCTGCCCAACCTCCCCACTGTCACTCCATACAGCTCTAGAATGCGGCAGTTGACACAACTGAGTCTTGGTGCCAAGGTACTTATATGGGGGAGGGGCTTATTTAAAGTGTTTTGTTTTTTTTTGGTACCACAGAAGTTCTAGAATCTTCCAGTGAGGCTCCGCGCAGGTGCGGATCACCCAGGGTGTGAATCACAGAGGTCCACTTGAAGAACTACAATTACAGGTGGATAACCTGTCGATCTCCTGTATGGAGATTTAGTGCAGGGAAAGCGCCCCAGAGGGAGACTACAGCTGTGATACAAGGATATCTGCAAGAGGGATCTGAAGGCCTTAGGAATGGACCTCGATGGAAAACCTTGACATCTGAGCGTTCAGCCTGGAGACAGGTGGTGCAGCATGGCCTCTCCCAATTTGAAGAGACACGTGTTCAGCAAGCCGAGGCAAAGAGACAGTCCCAAAATCAGCAAAGTCAGGGAGGTGGACAGGGGACAGATTGTATTTGTCTTCAGTGTGGAAGGGATTGTCACTCTCAAACTGGCCTTCTCAGCCACACCAGACTCTGTTCCAAGACCTCCATTCAGAGCACGTTGCCATAATCTCTTGAGACTGAAGAATGCCTACGAACTATAGATGGGACTGGAAATAGGATTCTCGCTACTTTATATTTTGTTTAGGGTAACTCTGAAACAATGCTTTGCTTCCTCCAATAATAACTAGGAAAAGCTTGCACCAAACAGTTTGCTTCTTATTTTTCATCTACTTCATGGTTTGTTTTGCAGAATAATTTGGAAAAGGTGACATTTGTTAAAGTTTATTTGGTTGCTCAAGGCAGACTTCCTTTACTGAGATGGAATGATGTGATTAGCATGGCAGCTGGGTGCCAGCAGAAGGAAACTATTGTGTGGATGCTGCTACAGAGCTTCTACCATGCACGAATTTTGAGCCACAAAAACACTGGTAAGAAGAACTGATCAGAAGAAGACATGGTGTGGTCTGGGAAATCTTTACTTGCTATGTGCATTATTAGAAGGGCCCATTAACCACACCCTCCTTCCCATCTGCTGAGCTGCACTCTCAGCATCTACGAGAGGCCTGCAGAACATATTGCCTGGCAGTCACATATTATGTCTGGCTATGTACCTAACAACCCTTTCTGTGTTTTGCAGTCCTGGGTAGCCAACAAAAAGCCTTTTTAAAAACATGCTGGCATTTGGGTTTTGTGAGACACAAGTTATACTGGTTTACACTTGTGTTCCCAAAATCTAACAGCAGTATAATTCCTAGACATTCAGACTGGCTTCTTTGGTTTGGTCCATTCCCCCATGCTGTTTGAATAACCAAGGTGAAATTGTTCCATTTGTCCAGACAGTTACAATTTGAACAATTGCAGATACTTCTGGATAGCAACCATGTTATGTCTAGACTTATGCTGAATGTGTCTGCTGTTTCTTAATTGATGCTCAGAGGTCATTTACTAAGAAATATTATTGGCTGCTTGGCAATACTAAGGATGGGTTTTCTACCAAACTTGCACGTATGCAGTAGAGATTGCAGCAGGAGAAAGGTGGTGGTGGAAAGAACAGACAGGTGATGCAAACAGGGAAGGTGGGGCTGTTTCAGCTGCATCATAATAATAGAATCATAGAATAGTGAAGTTGGAAGGGGCTTACAAGGCCATCAAGTCCAACCCTCTGCTCAGTGCAGGAATACAATCAAAGCATATCTGCCAGGTGATTATCTACGTTTTTCTTGAATGCCTCCAGTGTTGGAGCACTCACCAACTCCCGAGGTAACTGGTTCCACTTTTGTACTGCTCTAACAGTCAGGATGTTCTTCCTGATATTCAACCGAAATCTGGCTTCCTTTAACTTGAGCCCCTTGTTGTGTGTCCTGCACTCTGGGATGATTGAGAACAGATCTTGCCCCTCCTCTGTATGGCAGCCTTTCAAATATTTGAAAAGTGCTACTGTCAGTCTTCTTAACATGCCCAATTCTCTCAGCCTTTCCTCATAAGGCTTTGTTTCCAGCCCTCTGATCATCCTTGTCGCCCTCCTCTGTTCCAATTTGTTAGCATATTTGTTGTAGTGTGGTGTAATAGAGGGTTGCAGTGAGTTAAATGGTTAAAGTACAAATTAGCTGACTGGATAGCAAAATGAGCCAGCCAAAGCACTTGGCTGCAGAGCAAGAAGTCAGAAATTAGATTCCTTACCATGCCTTGTAGAAGGTCCAACCTGTGTGGTCTTTGGCAAGCTATATTTCTCCAGATCACCTGCAGAAGAAAGGAATAATAAACTACCTCTGAGTACTCTGTACCTAAAATTCTAATGTTACTCTGTACCTAAGATTCCAGTTTATCACAACTCTGGAAAGACTTGTGATAAACTGAAATTGACACCACATAATTATGAAAATACATACTTAGTGCAAAACTAAACTTTCTTTATTTGCAAGTGATCATGTAGTTGGCCAGATTGAACTTGCCATGACATACAGCCTTAAATACTGTAGTTTTCCCAAGCTGATTCCAGACATGTGCACTGACACTGGGACTGATATCAGCAACTTAGATATTTATTGGCAAGTGAAAAGGAAATATTAATTACATGCTACAAATTTACCATGCCATTTATTTCAACCCTCAGCAGCTTAGATACACAAGGATGGGAGTTTCTTGTCAAAGACTTACTGGAGGTCTTGTGGAACCTTTTAAAGTGCAAAGAGAATAATTTGGATAGGATGGTAATGAATGTTATCTGAAGTGGGAAGAAGATTCCTGTCTCCATGTTAAAGCACCTGAAAAATGCCATGTATGGTTTTGGTCTGACAATGTGGTTTTGTTTCTTTTTTGTTTTTTTTTGTTCCTGCTCATCTAGGAGTCTTAAAGAGAATGGAGTGGCTCTTGGAACTGATGGGGTATATCAGGAATGTTTCCTTGAAGACAGCATCCATACCAAATGTGTCTCCTAATGAGGTACAGGCCAAGGAAATAATTTGTGGTTTTTAGAACAGGCAGACATTTTGATTTATGGGTCATACCCTTTCTGAGGAAGGTGTGGAGATATTTTATGTTATCTTTTGCCATATGAAAAAGTTATTTAATTACTTCCATAATGAAAATATCAAATAGCTAGCAGAATGTATCAAAATGGCCTTATGGTACACATGTTTAAAATATGGGAATTAGACATCTGGCCTGCCTGAATATAAGAACATGAATCGCAGAAGAAAATATCACTTCAGATATTAACCTAAGAGCAAAGTTTTTTGTGAGCTTGTCAAGCCATCTGAGTTAATTTAGCTTGTTTTAAATAATTCAGATAGACTGAACTGCTTGCTTGTGCTATTACGCTATTTTTATTGTGTACTAAATATAATTGAATTGTTGTCCAAGGATACTCTCACAGACTATTTTGTTTCAGTGATAGAGCCCTCCTGTGTTACTGCCCCACCACCATCATACTCTGACAACAGTGACAGAGGTTTTAGTAGTAATGGGTGAAGAGGTATACTTGGTAACAGATCAAAGAGGCCATGAGTGAGCTTCTCCCTGTCTGACACTGTGCAGATGAGTTGCACTATAACTCCCATTGTTCTGCTTATCATGGCTATTGCAGGCATGGGATGATGGACATTATAGTCAAATACATCTAGAGGTTGCTGGCTTGAGAAAGGCTGATCTGCAAGATTTGAAACCCTCCTACCCACCTGCTGAGAAAGACAAACAAGTATTCATAGGGCTGTTGCATATATTTCCTCTCTCATTATTGTCAACATTATGGATATTTTTAAAAGAGGCACAGAGGAAGAATGGGGAACCACAGACAAAATCTACTGTCCCCCACCTTTTAACCCAGACAGCTTTCTTTCAAGTAAGTTTTGCTTGCTCCCATAGGATCACCGTGCCTCAGATTTGGATTCTTTCACTGAGCAGGAGGTTGGACTCTATAGCCTTATAGGCCCCTTCCAACTCAATTATTCTATGATTCCATATTTACGAACCTGTGAGCATAACCACAATGAGACTTACATTTAGTTACATATGCAAAGGATTGTGTTGTAAGTCCACTTCTCCATGCAACACTTATTTACTGCTGGGATCATGAAATAAGGCTCTGTGTCCTTGTCAGAGAGGTAGTTGTGACAGTTTGGTTTAGCAGTTTCACAGTTAGAACCTAACTGTAGTGTTGAACAGTACTCTAGAATTCAGTGCCTCGTCTCTCATATTGTTCAGCAGAAGAAAATACAGTGTTGAATATACATTAACCCAAAAATATTTGCTGCAATCTTGCATGGCACTATATATTATTAGTTATATCACAGGTTTGTGGACTAGAGAGAACCTGACATGCCTGAGGTCACTAACACAGTTAGTGGTGTGGGGGAGTTGAAAGAAGCCTATCAGAATGTGAAGACTGTGAACTAGAGATGGGGGTATTCGAATATGAATACCCCCACGCAGGTGGAAATACAGTGGTGCCCCGCTTGATGAGTACCCCAGTAGACAACGAAATCGCTTCACCATGAGGTTTTTGCAGTCGCTATTGCGATTGCAAAATGATGTTTCAATGGGGGAAATCCACTTTACGTTGAATCGGTCCCCTGCTTCGGGAACTGATTTTTCGCTTCCCAACGATAAAAAACAGCTGATCGATGGATTTTCAAAATGGCCACCTGCTGTTTTCCGGACCTATTTCCGGAAGACAGTGATCGAAAATGGCTTCCCCTATGGAGGATCTTCCCTTTATGATGAGGTATTTCGCCCATTGGAACGCATTGGAACGGTTTTCAATGCATTTCAATGGTTTTTTTTACTTTCGCTTGACGATGATATCACTTAACAGCATTTTTAACGGAACGGATTAACGTTGTCAAGCGGGGCACCACTGTAATAAAGAGTCCGGCCCCATGGGGCTGGATGGTCCACTCACTGATCTGCTGGTGCTGTGGGCTCCGTGCTCCCATCCTATCACTCCAGAGCTTGTGATCGGCGAGCCACTCTTCAGCCTGGCAGAGAGCCTTGTGGCTAGCCTGTGAACACATCCCCTGGGCAATGACAGCATCCTGTCAGCTGATATGTCCATTCCAGAAACACCACTGGATTGCTTCCAGCATGAAAAAATGAAGAAGATGGTGGCACAAAGTTTCTCTTTGGAAAATTCCTGTGCCCTTGGAACTGTGTGTAGGATTCTTTCCATTTTGCATATCAGGCTCTTAGCCACTATATTGAAGTAGTGATCACGGAAGGCACAGCCTCTGTGTGCAAAGTGTATTTGCAGTATTTATCATCTTTACCTTCCCCCTCAGAACAGTAAGATGGGCCTACCCTATGTCCATTTTACAAGTAGATAATAAAAGCTGAACTATCTAAACCTTAGTGAGGAAGTTCAGTAATTTTAGTCCAGAATCATTTGAACTGGAATGTCTATAGTTTGTTGTTGTGATAGTACAGGCCTGCCTGTATTAATCATCTTTTAGCACTATCTGCTTATAGGAAGATTGGAGGAACCAGGTTATTGACTACCATAGAAACAGATGCTATGAGGCAGTGTAGTGCTGATAACGCAAACAAGTAAGATACACAGAAATTAGTGACAGTTGTTTCTCCTTTTCCCTTTTCCTGCCTTACAAACTTTCTCTGAACACTCTGGTAATGTTCCATTTAAAAAGTTCCAGTGCCAAGTTATGGCCCATACATTTTCCAACTTGATAGATCCTCCCTTTTCTTTTGAGCTTCTGGATCCAGTAGTTATCTGCTGCAGGGTGGTGATGGAGTAGGGAGCTTTGCAGTCTTTCTCTAACTTTGCTGAGCCCATTAACAAAAGGCACATCTGTTTCCTCTTTAGGCAGTCAGCTTCCTTCTGTGGATCTTTGCTGCTTCTGTGGTGGCGTGGGCTGACCATGCTGCACCCCTGCTGCTTGGCCTCAGTGCTGATTGGTCTCCCTGGGAAGGTGGCACAGTGTCACAGTTGTCTGCAGGTTATTTGGGCCAGCGGCCAGTAGATCATTTGGCTGCCCAGGAGACCCTCACTCTTCTTCCAGGGTGCTTGCAGATCCTGATGGCAAAGGAACCGTGGAAGGAACACACACAAAAGGTACATGATTTAAGTTCTAATTAGGGATTCTTTAACATGCTGAGGATTTTTTAAAATTCCGGCCTTAAGTACTGGTTGGTTGATTGATTGATTGTCAGTATAGTGATATATTAAGTACAGAACATAGGTTTTGTGTCAATGCATTTTTATTATTTGTTTATGTATTTGTGTTCTTGAAGGCATTCATGGCTGGGATCTGATAGCTGTTGTGGGTTTTCAGGGTGTTTGGCCATGTTCTGGGTATAGAGCAAGGGGTCTCTCACAGACTCGTCTAGCTGTTTTGATCTCTGTACAGCTAACTCATAAATATAAAGAGTTCCATCAGATACAAGAGAAACAGGGCAGTGAAACGGGTTAAGAGTTCTCTGCTTAAGTAGTTAAGATGATTTATCTCCCCCTTTTTTCCTTAAAAAAGTCTGCAGAGACAATGATAGAAGGATGGTTCACCTTGTAAATGGAAATAAAAAAGGCTGGGATCCTAACTGCAAATACCTTCTACTAAACTCTCATTTTTTTCTACTGTCATCCTCCTTGCTTTCAGGCTATAATGTCTGAACAGGGTTCATATCTCCTCCAAAGCAAAAGCAAAGTGTGCTGCTTATATACCACCCCATAGTGCTTCAAGCACTCTCTGGGCAGTTTACAAGTTAATTATGCAGGCTACACATTGTTGTATGGTGGTCAATAAGATCAATAAGGTTTACCAAGGTTGGTAAAATGAGTACTCATTTTACCAACCTTGGAAGTATAGAAGTCTGAGTCAACCTTGAGCCAGCTATCTGGGATTGAACCCTAGATCGTGAGCACAGTTTTGGCTGCAGTACAGCAGTTTAACCACTGCGTCATGAGGGTCATGCCCAATAGCTTTGCTTCTCAGACCTAACTTGAGCACATCTCCCAAGTGCCAACATAATAAATCTGATCCTCCAAGTCTGATCTCACAAAGTGAGGAAATTCTTAGGATTCAGTTGTAACAAGCAACTAATATGCAATATGGATGATGTTATTTCTCAAGGAAGTATTAAAATTAAGAAGCTTTTGCCTCACCCAACTGCAACTGCCCCTTCTATTCTCCTCTCCTTCTTATTCCTTCCTTTTCCCCCCCACCAAAATGTCACCCTCTGGTGGTTTCTTCTGTTCTGGATCTCTCTGTCCCTCCTCACTCAAGCACAGTCCCTTTAAGGTCTCTTCCAGGGCAGTCATCATTCCCACAGTATCTTCACTCAAGGAGGTGGACAGCACACTCTGAGGAGTGTCCCTTAGGGTACTCCCAGCCTCACAGCAATATACAGCAATAATTCATGTCTTTGAGCCCTTTGGAGTTATCAGGTAACTCAGAAACTTAGCTCTTAGTTTTATTGCACATCAGAAAACATACACGAAGGTTAAGACATCAGACCTTGGTTAGTGTGTAACTAGTGTTAAGCCGTATGCTTGTATTGAGCCAGAAACTCAAAAGTAAAGTGAAATTACATTCACTGTGTCATCATCAATTTAACAGCATTTTTAAAAAACTGACCATATTTTTCACTTTTTAAAATGCCCCTGTCTTCTGCCACGCTTACCTTTTGCTCGTGATGTGCTTAATAAGAAGTAGCATTTGATTTTCAAAATACAGCTATGGGTTACTGTTAACATACATGCGTATGTTATGGTCTGGGCTTCAGATGTGAACATATGTGAAAACAATGACACTAATTCTTTTCCCTCTAGAGTTGAATTCCAAAATTAGATCAAGGTGTCTGGAGTAAGATTGTTGATGTTTTAATTTCAAATTTATTCCTAGTTTATTGATTGGCTGTTGAACATAATGGAAAGCTCAGAGGAAGTACTCTCCCAGTCTTCTAGAGACCTTTTGAAAGGTATTGTAGAATTCAAGTGTATAATCTTTTGATTTGAGAAAATATTATCATTATCTTTCAAAAGGAGGATTGTATCAATTACTAAACAAAACATTTTTATGACAGCAAGATAAAGTGATATTGTAAGGATCCTTAGGCCAAAAAAGGTCTCTCCTATGTTAAAGTTACATTTTCCTTTGCATTTGTGGGATAAAAATAACAGTGACAAGTATCCTATTGCTCTGTGAATGACATTATTGCCAGTAGTTAACATTAAATGCACCCTGATGTTGGGAAAGTGTGAGGGCAAGAGGAGAAGGGGATGACAGAGGACAAGATGGTTGGACAGTGTCATCGAAGCGACCAATATGAATTTGACCAAACTCCGGGAGGCAGTGGAAGACAGGAGGGTCTGGCGTGCTCTGGGCCATGGGGTCATGAAGAGTCAGACACGACTAAATGACTAAACAACAACAATTAAAGATTTCCTTTCTTTATTCTGGGTTGTGCCCAACTTCATCTTATTGCATATGAGTTGTGTGCACTCCAAAATTGAAAAATAACTCTTTGATTGCTGGCAATCTGCCAGTGCAATGATGTCATTCTCATTGATCAGGTGAAGTTGTACAACAATGTTGTATGTGTTGCTTTAGCATAATTTGGTCTAAAGAGAGATTTTCTAAAAAGCACATTGAAATTTGCAGTTTTAAGTGTTTCTTTTCTGCACACTCTTATTCCAAAGTAAGGGCTTTTCATTTGGATGTAAAGTGTTTATTTATTTATTTATTTTATATCCCGCCTATCTAGCCACTTAAGACCACTCTAGGCGGCTTACAACAATCGTAATTACAATATGATTAAAACAATTTTTAAAAAGGGGAAAAACTTAGACAAGGTGGGACAAAGACGAGGGGAGAGAAAAAAGAGGAAAGATCAAGAATTGGCGGGGGAGGCCTGCCGAAACATCAGTGTTTTTAATTGATTTTTAAAAATACCCAGCGAGGGAGCCGCGCGGATGTCAGGGGGGAAGGTTATTCCAGAGGCGAGGAGCCACCGCCGAGAAGGCCCGAATTCTTGTCTTTTCTTTCCGGGCCTCCCTCAGCGTTAGGCTCCTCAGCCTCACCTCCTGACTCGCGCAAGTGACACGGGTAGAACTTGGCAGAAGTATGAAAATGCTCTTCTGATGCCAGGTAGAAAAAGGGGACTGTGATGGAGCAAATCCTCCCTTTAGAAGAGCCCAAGGTTGATTGAGATTTGAGATGAGCACAGAACTCGGATGGGCACAAAACTCAGTATGCATAGCATCTTAGGTGCCACGTGTTCCCTTCCCCTACCTCCTCGGCCAATTATCCACTCATCAGTCAGAGCCTGTTCCTCTCCTCCTCTTTGGGTTTCCCTCTCCTGCCTCCTCTTCTGATTGGGCAACCAAGGAGGTGGGGCAGGGAAGTCTATGCTCTGGATGGAGACTGGTTGAATAGCCAAAGAGGAGGAAGAGAGGAGTGTATACCCGCTGGTGAAGCAAGGAAAGGGAACACATGGCACAAGTAGTCCATGCATACAAATTGGCACAAACCTGCAAACTGAGCTTCCTGCTCATCTCTAATTGAGATGCCAAGAATTTATTTCCAGGAAGTGGATGGAATTTCTGAACTATTTTAGGCATTCTTAATTTTGCCCAAGGATTAAATATTTGGTTAAAGAAACAGATTTTCTGCCTTGATCTGATAGTATGCTCTTTGATAAACCCAGAGCATGATGCTCTGAGCAAACAGGGAAGAAAGAATAGAGCAAATCCACTGCTCTTTACAGAACACCAATATTTATTCATAGGATCAGTGCCTCCATACTTCAACTCACACAATCCCTAGCCAGCATAGCCAATGTAGAGGTACCTTGGTGTTGCAGTTTTAATAAAATGACTTTAGAGTCAAGATTGATCATTCCTGCTTTATGGAATCTGAATATTTGTGATAATGCTGCTCCTGCCTCTTCAAATCACTGTTTAATTCAGTGGTTCTTAACGTGGGCGATAATGCCCCCCTGGGGGCGAACCTGTTAAGATGGCTGCAGCCTTTTTACAGTGTGTATGAATATATATTTTCCTCCAATCTTAATTTAGTTTCAGAGTTTTCGTCTTGAAATTTTTAGTTCCTGTATTGTGGTTTGTTTTTATGCCCTTTTTATATTTCTTTTTGTGTCTTAAAATTCGCTTGCAACTAAATCATTAAATGTTACTTTTTTGGGGCCTTTCATTTTCTTGGAATTGAATTTTGTTTTCAGGGGTCATTGGATTTAAGTGAAATAAATAAATAAATAAATAAGAAAGATATCATCACCGCGGGGAGGGGGGGCGATGATAACTTCCTCAATGGCTCAAGGAGGCGTTTCTTTCAAAAAGGTTAAGAACCACTGGTTTAATTGAAGGATGTAATTATAGAGGAGTTATTTCAAGTTTGCAGTGTTCACTAATGTTAGGAATGTTCTTTACTTCTTTCTCAGCTTCACTGTTGGCCCTGAGATCTCTCCAAGAGTTCAAGAAGAAGGCAGTATGGACAAAAGCTTATGGCTGGTAGTCCCAGTATGACAAAGAAGGGAGAAAACTAAAACGTGGTGTGAAAGACATAACATTGCTATAGAGTGCTTTAGGATTTCTATTCCAGACAGATTGTTGTCTTTCCTGAGCAAGATGTTTAAAAGAGTTTACTGTATACATATGTACCTTTGTTCTAACAGATTGCCATGCATATGAAGCTTGTGTTGGAAAAAGCTTAGCTCCGAGTCATAGAATTTCATTTTCTGAAATTTAAAGGATGGTATGAACTATACAACAAAATTCTATGATGCATTGGGTGAAATCTGTGATCTTGTGACAAAATTAAACATACTAACTTGAAATTACAACTTTTGGATGTGTTTTGCATGTTACATGATAAGACATAACATTGTTGCATCCTTCAGGTGCTTTTGAATTCCCAGTGTTGCTTCCTTCAGTGCATTGGTCTTTAGCTCCTATCATCATTTGGCCCTTCTTGCTGAAGCTGATGGCAGATCCAGTCCAAAACATCTGGTGGGAATCACTTTAGAACAGGTGTCTCCAAATTATGGCCTATGGGCCACATCCAGCCCACCTTGCCATTTTATCCAGTCCATTTTCTGTGGGGCGTGGATGTCCAGGCGTGGGGCATGGGTGGGTGCATGTGTGCATGCATTGATGTGGGTGCAAGAGGGCATATGTGCATACGCAAGGTGTTGAAAGTGTTCAGTATGGCCCTCAGGGTCAAACGTTTGAAGACCCCTGCTTTAGAACATGCAATACTTGCAGATATTTTGGTACAAATATAAAAAACAAGATGATTCTGTAATAAAACAGTGACTTAGGTGGGGCTTCAAATGTGCATTCTTCAAAGAGCAGCTCCCACCTGCTGAAAATTTTGATAATGAAACACATTGGGATTTTGGTATTCAGAGGAAATGAATCAAGGTGTTGGCTACATTTAAAGCATGCATAATGAATCTATTGTGTTGTACCTGTGTGCCAGTCAAAACAATATCCCATGCTAAAATAAGTGTTTAGATATATTTAATTAACAGATAAGAGATTAGCATATGGAGTCTGCACAAACTGATGTGCTCAACAGCTGGATAAAATGTCGACAGTTTACAGCTAATTTGTCCCACTATATTTTGGAGCATTAGCTTATTTTTTTATTCCCCCCCTTTATTTTATTTTTTTATAAACAATACAAAACAAACAGACAAATGACACAAAGCAAACAACAACAAAAATGAAAAACTACCAAGCTACAACATCCCACACACACAAACACTTCTAGGACAGAGATTCCGTTGTCATCAGGATCTTGGGTATCTCCAAGAGGATTTCTGTGAGCACTGAGTTCATAAAATAAAAAGTTTCATCCTAAGCTCCTGTCTTTTTCTGGGCCCAATCATATGTCAGCTTCCAGCTTTGCTTTACATAGCCTCTTGGCTGATCCCATAATGCTTTTGAAAGTGTATCTAATTCTGCAATATCCAACAGCTTCTTTAAAAACTCCTCCATCATTGGGGTTTCTTCATTTTTCCATTTTTGGGCCCATTGTAACCTAGCTGCTGTAAATATATACATTAGACAATATTTTATTGTCTTATCAATAATTTCCGGCATGATATTCAGTAATACCATTTCAGGTTTAAAATTTAATTTTTCTTGAGTATTTTGCCATTTCCCACACCAGTATCCAGAATCTTTTGACTTTTTCACATGTCCACCACATATGATAAATAGGTCCCTGAATTTTTTTTTACACTTCCAACAAACATTGCTATTACCCTCTGATATTTTTGCCAGTCTTACAGGTGTATAATGCCATCTATAAAACATGTTGAGGATATTTTCCCTAAGGTTCACTGGCTTAATCATTTTATGACACCCTTTCCACATCTTGGTCAATTCATCAATATCAATATTATATCCAGACTTACTTGACCAGTTTACCATCATCTCCTTCACCCTCTCATCCTCCAACTCATACTCCAGTATGTGTACATTTTTAAAATTATTTTCTCATTAGTGTATATCCACAATTCATCCACCTGAATTACACCCTCAAAGAAACCAACAATTTTATCTTTTTTGTATCTCTATTCCAGTTTCAACATTGACCACCAATCCGTGGCCACTCCTAGTTCCTCTAGCTCTTGTTTATCTTTTATATTCTGTTCTTTAGTTAGTAATTCTTTATATGTGAGTGTTGTGTCCCCCTAGTGTCCCTTGTTTGTTCTCCCCAAACCTTCAGGATGCGTTGCCTCTTTTTGTGCTGCCACCAGTGGATCTAGTCCACAATTTACCAAATATATCTCAGAGGTTTTATTGATCATTTAGTTGGTATTTAAATCACAGATGTAAATCACAGTTGTTGAGGATCATTCATTAAATTGGATTTGATTACACATTTACTTGTATGAGTTTTTATTCACAGTAACCTCTTTAACAATATTCTTTAATCATCTATCTATTCTCTATTCCTTTTAACGCTTTCCTATTCTCTATAACACTCCAACTTTCCAATCTCTATTTTAACTCTCTCAATTCAATGTCCTAACTCTTTCACTTCCATTCCCTATCTAACTCTCCCTCTCTCTCTAACTCTCTCTAAGTGTCTGTGACCCTAACTCCACCCCTCCTGTCCTATCATAGGCTCCTGCCCTTGAGCTCCATATGATGGACAGGAGTGATGTGGGGCATTCCACCACAGACTTCTGCCCTTGGAAAGTTTGTTTCATGGGGTAAAACCTACAGTAGTTTACTCTTATGAACAACGTAGGAAACACCTAGCAATATTTCAAACAAATTTTCATTACCTTTTTCAGTTACACATTTAAATCACATTTCTATTTACTCATTTCTATATACAGTATAGACATGCATTTTATTGTTGATTACAATTTAACAAATATTAGTCTTATCATTCTACACATTTAAAATACATTAATCAACATTTGCATTACTCACAACTTCTTTACTACAATACTGTTACTGTTACTTATATCATTATATTCATCAAAAATATTACACTTGTAATTCCTTTTTTATTTATTCATAACTTGATCAGTTTATTACATTATAAGTTACTTATTTCTTCTTTTTCATCAATCAGTCTTCCGGTCTTTGTGACAAAGCGTCAGCCACTACATTTTGCATCCCTTTCACACTCCGGATTTTGAAATCAAAAGTCCTGTAGCAGTAGGGCCCATCTCATTAACTTGTTATTAATTGCCCTTATAGTTCTCAGCCACAGAAGTGGGGAACGGTCTGTGCAAAGAACAAAATGTCTTCCCCATATGTATGGCCTGAGCTTCTGTAATGACTATACGATTACAATACATTCACGTTCGATTGTGGACAGATGTCTCTTGTAAGCAGCCCCTTATCTCCAAAGAGATTTATGGGGGTGCCGGAGACTGGGATGAGTACGAAATCCAGACAAACCTCTAACTGCTGAGCAGAGCCACTTAGTTCCCAGCCAGGTCTTGTCTAAATTTCTTCCTCAAAAGCCAATCCCCTTTTT